CTACGCTGATGGAGCCTTCATTTCATGTCCAGGCTGTGGCTCCTGCCAATGAGCCACCTGCAGGGGGGTAGGAGCCTGGCGGGGTGCAGGGGGGGACCCCAGGACACGTGGACCTCAGCAGGGTCTGCCCTGGGGTCCTGCCCTGACACAGGGCAGCGATGGGGCGGCAGCGGGATGGGGAGCACCCACAGCTGCTGTGGCTGCAGCGCTTGAGGGTCCTGAGTGGCCCGAGGTGTCTGCAGCCTTGCACCCACCACCGGGGGACACTGGCCCTCAGATGGGCCAGGGGAGCCTCGGAGATGCCTATCTCTGGCAGGAGATGCCTGTCTCCAGCAGGAGATGGTGTTCTCTGGCAGGAGATGCCTGTCTCTGAAAGCTGAGGGCTCCCTGGGCTCCCGGCAGCCAGGCACTGGACGCCCAGCAGAAGAGTTTGGTCAGTTGTGACAGATCTTTTTCCCATATCCATTCTATTAGGGAAAGACAACGTGTTGGAAATAGGTTGCTTTTTGGGTAAGCACATCTGTGGGCAGAAAATTCTCCTCCCTGCCCAGGAGCATTGCTTTGCTCAGCTCAGAGCCTTCCTGCGGGCTGTGGACCCTTCCCACCCTCAACCTCGGGCTCGGGGCAGGTCTTGGGAGACTGTAGGCTCCAAACCAGCTGAGCTTCTGATGTTGCTGCTCTTGGGTTCCACCAGGCGTGTGACCACCTGCCCTGGTGATGGGCACGGAGGTCTTCCCTTCCCACCAGCGGGGTGAGGGAATCTGGACTCTGATGAAGACTCGCACCTTGATGTGGAGCCAGGTCCTGGGGGAGCTGCTGAGGAAAATCACCTGAGCAGTAAAAACCACAGCAATTATGTGAAGGGTAAAAAAAATCTTACTGTCTCCTTGGGTGATGGGTTTGGAGGAGTCTGGCTGCCTCCCCTTGGAGGAAATGTTTGTCTCATTTAGAGAAGTCCCTGGCAGGAGAAGCCCCTGGCAGCCTTCCTTAATGAAGCTGGGGCTTGAGAGGGGCAGGAGCGTCCTGGGAGGTCCCGGCCAGTGCAGGCCCCAGCTCCACGTGCCTGGGCGATCCCCCGTGGCTGGGCAGCAGCGGTGTGAGCAAGGGGAGGGTTACCCCTTTGCTTGCACACTCAGTGGGTTGCATGTAGCTGGTGGCTGGCTGGGACGTTCCCTGCTTCGGAGACATCGGGCCATTTGGTTGCCCGGTGGGCACTTTCCCTGACAAGGGCCTGAGTGGCCATTCCCTGTCCCTCCTTCAGCCACGGACTTGTGTTGGGTTTGGAGGTGACCGGCTGGTGGGAGAGGCACCAGAGCTGCTTTGCCTGGCTCAGGACTCCTGCTCCGGACTCTCTTCAGCACAGTGAGAAACACCACCAGAACCTCGCTGTAACAAATGGCTTGATTTTCTAGGTCAGCTCTGCCGGCTGGGGTGATAGCAGGCACTGAAAGCTGGCAGTTTATTTCAGCTTTTACTCGGTGTGTTTTGCTCCAAAGCGACTTAAAATGCATTAGTGTCACAAGGCGGGAGCTGCGCGGGAGCCGCTCGGCAGCTCAGTCCTGTCTCTCTGTCACTTGTCCTATTGTCTGGGGAGATTCTGTTAGCACAGGCAGGCAGCTGCCTTCCCGCGTGCATTTTCCCCCGGATTTATCTTTCTTTTTTTTTGGCTGGGGGTTGGGAATTGATTATAAACATTGGTTTAGTATAAACATCAGTTTAGAATTGATTATAAACATCGATTGATTATAAACATCACTACCAGGGCTGATGATGGGAAATAAATAGCCGGTGGGCCCCGTGCTCTGGTCCTCTGGCCGCCCCTCGGGAGGGGAGATGGGAGCGGGAGCATCCTCCGGCACAGAGCAGTGCCAGCGCCCGGCACCCGCCGTGCCCGTGGCCGGGAGCATGGTCCGTGCGGTGCCCGTGGCCGGGAGCATGGTCCGTGCGGTGCTCGCCAGCGCCCAGTTTGGTGTTTCGGAGGCAGCTGTCGTTATGGAGCAGGGAGGATGCTGCACATCCATCCCATCACCCTCCATCCCCAAAATGGAGGGGGGCAGACGGGGTCAGGATGGATCCTGCTGCAGTGAGACCAGTCCAGCCACCACTCCTGAGGAGATGCCATGCTGGCATTCCCAGGATGAGCCGTGCCCGTGCCCCTCATCCCCACAGAGCCAGCGGGGACCTGGGGCAGAAGCTCGGGGCACAGCAACGTTTTGGCTGGGAGCAGGGACACGGGGTGGGTTTCCGATGGCCCCAGCAGCATTGCAGCTGCAGGATCCCATCAAGAGCTTTGGTTTTTGGTTCTAAAATCTGACCAGTTCCTGCAGGAGTGATCAGGAAGACTTCGGGTACCCTGGGCGAGTCACTGGTGGCATCTGGCTCTCCTGCCCTGCTCCAGAAGGGGCAGAGGACAGCCAGCAGCCACCAGGAGGAAGCCTGATATTTATAATTCCTACAATTGTCTTGAACCTCCCAGCCTTGATGCCATCTTCAAACAGGAACAGAGAAATTCATGTTTAGCTCAACTGCCTGTTTGACATTTGGAAAAAAAGGAGACTGGAGCGGTTGCTGCTCGTTGTGCACATGATTAAATAAAACATGAGCATCGGTGCCTGCACATCCCTGCGCCTCATCCCGCTCCTTCGGCCGGGTGCCAAATACATTGATTTTGTGTCCGGTGACCTGCAGGTGAGCGGGGTGCGGGCGCTGAGCTGCCGGAGAGGGTCCGGTCCCCACGGGGCACTTTGCAACGGCTCAGGCTGGGAAGGGCTGGGGCCATGCTCTCCTCCTCCCCGGTCCCGAGGGTCTCCATCACCCAGGGACCTGGCCCCTTCCTCTCACAGTGACTTTTGCTCAAGGACGTGGTGGTGGTTCCTTTTTATCTCTCTTTCTCACGTCTCTTCCCAATTGTAGAGAAATCAAATATTCTGTATTTCTGGCCAGAAGGGGAATGTTTGGGGAGATTATGAGCATGTTATAATGCAATTAAAAAACAACCCCTATAATTGCTGTAATTTATGTATACCTACAAAATAACCAGCTGGTGTAATCAAAGCTTCCAGTCTATTTTATTTGTTTCGGCAAATCAAACAGAGGGGAATGGTTCCATCTGCATGTTCACGTGCAGCACGAGGGTTGGCAGCAGCCGGAGGTGCTCGCTGAGCCGCGGCGCTGGGGCAGCTCGGGAGGGAGGCTGCTGCTCCCTCAGCGTTACTCCCGGTGAACCACCGCCGTCTGCTCCAGCATCACTCCCAGTCCCAGCTTTTGGTTTTGTGTGTGGGGATGGGTGGGGGAGGAGTGATGCACTCCCCTGGAAAACTCGGGATGCTGAAAAAGTGCTTCTCCTGGGCTTCAAAGAGCGTATTCCGAGCTCATCCCCCTCCCCTCCCTGCCCTCCATCAACAGCCCTCCAACATTAAAGCAGATCGGCTGCAATTTCAAAGCTGTGACTTCAGTGCAGCCGAGTTGGTGACGAGGAAGATAATTAGCAAGTTAAATGTTCAATGCTTTAGTCAAATTATGTTTAATAATATTGAGCTGTAAAGAAAGAGGGTAGCAGGAGCTGTTAGCAGCTGCTTTTTCATTGTCGATACAGCGTCGTCGTGCAAAGCACTTTCCACTTAATGAAGGCACCCTGGGTTTTACTTCGTTTTTCAAGCCTGTTTCTGTGTTCTGCTTTGCCCGCCGATGGCTAGCAATTTGCAGCATTGCAAACGAGCTCGGAGTATTTCAGGAGCCAGTGGTTTCCCAGGAATGAATGCTTTCCCTGTGCTTCGTGACTCTCATTCCAGTTCTCTTGGCTAACTAGCCCCCAAATTAGCTGTGCGTGCGGGGACAGGCCGTGGCTGTGGGTCTGCTGGAGTCGGGATGAAAGCCTCCGACTGCAGTTTCTCACCGAGGATGAATAAAACACCACAGGGATCCTCTCCCAGCCCTGAAGTTTAAAATATTAATAGGATATCATTTTCCCAACAAGCGCTGCAACAGGTAGAGAGCACTTTGTTATAAAACATTTCCTCTTAGCGGAGACGCGTATTTTAATGGAAATGCGGTGTCACTTAAATTATTGATATCCAAAAAAATGCAAGTCCACTGTGTGGCCGCAGATACCGAGGTCTTTTCAGACGGGCTCTTCCCCCACGCTCCGCTCCCGGAATCCTGCGGGTGCCGGGGGGAGAGCGGGGATGGAAAATCACGGCGGTTCCTGTGGGGCGGGCAGGATTCCCGGCTGCTGTCGGAGCAGAAAAGCTCTTTACACCCTCATGGGAAGGTGGGAGGTGTGGGCAGCGGTGGGCAGCCCGGCAGGAGCCGGGGAGGGCTTTGTTCCCGTGTGGGGCGAGCTGTCCCCGTGGTCCAGAGCTGCCACCGTGCTCTGCCTGTGCCTGTGTCACTCCAGCAGAGATGGTTTGCAGAGAGAAATCCCTCTCTAATGGCTCAACAGGCTCTTCCTGGGTTCCCTACCACGGGCAAAACAAAACTGATGGTGAAAATAGCCGTGCTGGCTTCTTTCCTGGTGGAAACGTGGGAAGCAGCATGTTTTGTCTCTCCCACCTTGTCCGAGGGCTCAGCGAGTGGTTTGGGAAGAGTTTTGAGAAACTTCGATGCTCCTGGTGTTTCTCGCGCTGCCCAGAAAGTTTTCCAGGGGATGCAGGAGAAACTCAGCTGTGCTGCAGGAGCACAGCCCACCCCAGCTTCTCAAACCATCTCTGAAGGGGCAGCAAAGGGCAGACACCCACACTGTCACCTCTGGCTGGTGACCTCCTTGGGGCCACCGTGGTGCCGGGCTCGGTGTCTGCCCCGTCTCGTGCCGAGCACTCACGGAGCCCCCTGGCACGGGCAGGAGCTGCCGGGAAACCCCAGAGCCTTGGCCCAGAGCACTCAAGTTGTCGCTCCCCCAGGCAGCGTGTTGGGGGGCAAACGGCCCCGGTTGTTAATGGGGGACTGGGGACAGGCCTCCGGCTTTGCTGATCTTTCTGTTTTTTCTCTTCTGGAACTCGCAGCAAACCCTGGAGACGAACCTCACCAACCTGGTTAAACGCAACAGCGAACTGGAGAACCAGATGGCCAAGCTGATACAGATCTGCCAGCAAGTGGAGGTTGGTGAGAGCAATGGGGGGACTGGGGGCGGTGGGGAAGGTCACTGGGAAGCTCCCGGCTCGAGTGGTGGGGTGCCTGGGGTCATTCCCGTGTCCTCTCACCGGGGGCTGCCCTGGGAGCAGGGATGTGTGTGGTGGGAAGCATCGCTGACACCGTGGGGCTGGGGGGAGGCTGAAGTGATCCGGAGAGTTTAGTCCCAAATGAGTTTAGTCCTAAATGATGGTGACATGGGGATGGTTCCCAGGGGTCTGAGGGAGAAGGGGGAGTGACTGGGAGCCACTGGGAAGAGACCCAGGGTGCTGGGCTGGCCCGGGGAGGCAGGACCCGGCTGCTCTGCTGCGTGCCTGGGAACAGCAAACCCTCTGTGATGACTGTGGTGCCCCCGTGCCTCGAATTCCCTGTGAAACCCTGTGCTCGTTCCACCTCCTCTTTCTTATGGGGGCTGCTGTTGGAGCAAACCAGCTGATGTTTGCACAGCACTTGGGTCTCTGGGAGCCCGAGCTCCGGGAAAGCCCTGCAGGACGTGGCTCGCTGTGTCCTGGCCACGGCACAAGGAGGGAGTCGTGGCCACGTCACCACAGCTCGTGTCAGAACCCCGGGAGCCTCCCCAGCGCCAGGGTGCTTGTACTGTGCTAGTTGTGTTTTATGTACTGTGCTAGTTGTGTTTTATGTACTGTGCTAGTTGTGTTTTAACCCTTTCCTCTTGGGAAGGGGAGCATGGGCCCCTGCCAGCCCTTCTCCCACTCTGTGGTGGGTGGTTTCTTCCCCAATTCCCTCCCTCCCCCCGGACACCCCCAGCTGCCTCCCGCGTCCCTCCCTTGTGGGGCTGGCGATGGCCACCTCTCCCACCGCCTGTGGAGCAGCTCAAACCAGCAGCGAGTGGGAAAGGCTTTGTAGGGAGATTACAGAAGGCACGGGAGGAGAGAAGCCACCTTTAATCCTGCTGAAGAAAGGCCTTCTGCTGACCTTGCTGCTTTGGCCACTTGATCTGTGAGACTCTCTCTGTTCCCCGTGTGCCATCCCACATCTCCTGTGCCGGGGGGGTGATGGTGCCAGCGGGGTCCTGGCTGCGGCGCCGGAGTCGGGAGTTCATCACCACGTGCTGCCGGGGAAAGCGTTCGAGGGGAAGAAGGCAGTTAATGCCGTGCTGTTGTTCCAGAGTGCACATACCAATTAATAGCAAATTAATTTGCAGCTTTGTTTACTGAAGTGATACATGGAGAGAGGCTGTTGCAATTAGTTTCTTCTCAATGGGCTATTGATTTTTTTTGGTCGCTAAATTAAGCAGCAGTTCCTTGAACAAACACCTTTCCAGAGAGTAACCTCCCACGGGCTGCTGGAGGGGGGGTCACTGGCGTGGATTTGGGGGGGGGTCACCAACGCCTGAGCAAACACAACAGCTCTTTGCTTTGTCCCAGCCCTTGCCGGGGGGGATATGAGCCCTGTGGCTTCCCCACTGCCCCCAGGGGCTGAGCGGCCGGTGGGGATGCGAGGATGTGGGGATGCGGGGATGTGGGGATGTGAGGATACAGGGATGCAGGGATGTGAGGATGCAGGGATGTAGGGATGCAGGGATGCGGGGATGTGAGGATGCAGGGATGCAGGGATGTGGGGATGCAGGGATGCAGGGATGTGAGGATGCAGGGATGTGAGGATGCAGGGATGCAGGGATGTGAGGATGCAGGGATGCTGCCGGTACTGGCCGGAGCCTTTCCCGTGGTGAGGGACCCAGGGATGTGTTTACACAGGGAGCCACATCTTGTTCGTCACCATCTCGGAGAGGGGCCGGGGCTCAGGCCAGGAAGGCGCTTCCTACCCCCACCTTTCCCACAGGGAACATCAGTGTTTTGTTCTCTGCTCACTGAATAAGGGCAGTTGGTGCCCTGACGGTCTGGAGAGAGAGGAAAAGGGCACAAACCCCAGCTCTGAGAGTGCCACTGGTGCCACCAGCAGCCATGGGCCACTGTTGGGCCAGCTCAGTGCACGGGGAGGGAGGAGTGGAGACACCTCTGAGTTCCCACACCAAAATAAGGAGCAGAAACCCCCCACCTGGGTTTTGCCTTCCCGAGCATGCTGCACTGATGCTCCCGTGTCACTTGTCCTCCTTCTCCTGCTGCTGGTGCATCCTGGTGGGCAGAGGGCCTTCCCGCAGCCGTTGGAGGATTATGGGCTGTTTTTCCCCAGCAGCGGGATCTTCGCAGCCCATCAGCCTCTCCCACTTCGCCGTTGCATAAGCTGCTGGCCGGTGTTAAAAAAAGATCTTGTATCAAACGTGTTTAACTCCGGGCTGCCTTCAGCCATCACCCCTGTTTCACAGACGAAGAAAACCCACTCATGTCCTCTGCTCCCCTGTCTGATTTACGTGTTGGGGCTCAGTTCCCCTTCTGAGAAGTGTCCCCCCCCTTTCCTGTCCGTCCCCCCAGGGATGCTGTTCCTGGAGATGGGACCAAAGCCTCTGCCCGTGCTTTCTCTGCCTCTCCGCTCCAAAACAACAACAAACCCAATGGTGTATTAGACGCCTGAAAAGTGGGTCCAGCAGGGATTAATTAGCCTGAATTAAGCAGGACACATGCAGCTTTCTGTGGAGAAACCAGCACTGTTTTCCTCTGCCTCCTGGGGCTGACACCATGCTCAGCCCCAGATGTGGTCTGGAGGAGGCTGGACCATGTCCAGGGGGTTTGCAGGAGCTGATGGGACCTGACGGTGACTTTTGGGAGCCTCTGCCCAGTCTGACCGTATCGTCCTCAGTCCCCCCCGGGACTGGCTCAGGTGCCCGGGTCTACAGCAGGTCCCTTCCTCTCCCAGCTTCTCCGATGCTGGAGGGCAGGGTGGGAGGAACTGCTTGCGTGTCTTTCCCACAGACCCCCCGCTGCCCCCCAGCCCAGGGCAGGATGGGGGTCACTTGGTGCAGCCCCAGCCGTGGCCGTGCAGAGCACCCCAAAACACACAGCCTGCCCCGGGAAGAGATGGGTGGGGAGATCCCTGAGCATCCCTGCGTAGCGTCAGGGCTGGCACCTGCTATGGTTTGAGGAACCCACAGCAATTGATTGTCCTTTAGACAATCACTCCATCACCCGATGACCCCTCCCCACCCAGGAAGGGGAAAAAATAAAGAAATGTGAGGGTTGAACTATAAACAGCTTTAATAAACTGTGGAGGAGTGTGTGCCCCAGCACAGCCCCATCACCCACCCACCTTGGATGTGGAGCAAGGGGGGCTTCACATGCTTCTATGGCTTTTTCCCCCCCTCCAGCAGCGTGGCAGTGGAGGTGGGTGAGCCAGCCCAGTTCTCTGTGTTGTGGGGTTGTTACTCCTGCCCAGGTCAGCCCCCTGCAGCCGGCAGAGCCGGGGGTGGCACGAGATCAGTGTGTTGCATCTCTCCTGGTGTGAGCCGGGAGAGCAGGGGGCTGTCGGGCTCGGGGGTCAGCGTGTCCCTCCTGACGGGGTGTCCTTCTGCTGCTCTGCCAGGTGAACACGGCCATGCACGAGGCCAAGCTGATGGAGGAGTGTGATGAGCTCATGGAGATCATCCGCCAGCGCAAGCAGGTCATCGCTGTCAAGATCAAGGAGACCAAGGTAAGATGGTCCTGTTCCTTCGGCTGCAGTTCCAAGGGTCCCCTCCTGCCCATGGGGTGGTCCTGGCAGGGTCTGCCCCCCCTCCCTGGGCACAGCCCTCCCCGGTTCCGCAGCCCATGATGTTGGGATGCCCCAGCCACATGCAGAGGGGCTGCTAGCCACGCACGTTGCCTTGCCCGTGAAGGAATTGCTCTGGGCAGCCATTGGTGGACACAGCGTCACCCCAGACGGTGTGCTGGTCCTGGTGTCCCTCGCTGCTGCTGTCCCCAGGGCTCTTCTGCCGAGGACAAGGCGTGCGTGAACATGGCCGGAGGAGGGAAGGCGCGTTGATTAGCCTGACAAATTGGTGCAGTTGCTTGGATCGGTCCAGACAGCTTCCTCAGGGCTTTTCTAGCTCCTCGGTGCTAATATAATAATGTAGAATTACTACTGAAGGGCCAGCCGAGCCCTGCACTGCAGAGAGAGGAGAGGCTCCACGTTCTGCATTGCAGCGGAGCCGTGGGTGAGCTGGTTTCTCTCCCTGTTCTTTGGGGGGATGGTTGGACCCTTCCTCCAGTGGTTCCAGGTGTTCTGGCCATTCCTGGTGGTTTCTGTACCATGGGGAAGGCCAGGGGCACCAGCTGGAGCTCTGAGGGGTGCCCACGGGAATTTGCAGTGCCCGTGCCCAAGCTCTTTGCTGACCTTATGCACCCCAAGGGGGTCGGGGTCCGTCTCCGCACCCGTCGCCGTGCCCATGGCCAGGCCGGGCAGCAGCATCGCCCCAGGTGCAGATGGTTTTGTAGGCGAAGGTTTGGGAGCGGGTTGCGCTGCAGGCGAGCCCAGCAGCACGGTGCTCGGACACCCTCGGCAGGAGTGGGAGCTTTAAAAAACGCCTGCTTTTATCCCAGTCGCTTCAGGGAACATATTTTATGTAACGGTGCCTTCTGCTGGTCCATCTGTCTGTCTGCCTCTCACTTCCCACCCTCTCCCCTAACGCCTCTTGACCATGTTGTCCAGTTTCAGCCGTACTTGGCAGGGAGCTGGAAGGCTCAAAGTTGTGATTTTCCTACAAATTGGCAGCAGGGTAGAGGAGAGGGGCCCCAATTAGTGCCCAAAACCATCAGCAGCAGCAGCGCTGGGCTGTGTGGGAATGGCCAGGGTGGCAGCAGCAACTCTGTGCCCACGTCGCTGCAAACCCAGCGGGAGATGGATGTGGGGACGGTGGCAGGGGAGTGGGTTTGGTTCCCAAAGTCACCTGGGAACTGGAATAAGTGTCTTTACTGGGGAAATGGGGCTGGAAATGGAAGCTGGAGCCGACTCCGCAGCCCCCGCGCTGCTGGGCAGGTTCCTCCGCTGCTTTTGACTCCTCTGAGCAGCAATTTCCAAGAGTGAACGGGAAACAGCCGTCCCGAGGAGCCCCGGCCACAAACACTGGAGAGTCTAAAAAGGGCCCAACACAAAAGGGAGGAGGAAGTGCCGGAGACTGCGGCTGGTTTGAAGCTCTCCAGCTGCAGGGCGAGAAATACGGCGTTCCCGCTGAACTGCCAGTTGGGTTTCCATTTGTTCTGGGCTGCTTTTCCTGACAAACGGCCCGACGGACGCGTGGAGCAGCCTGATTGCACGGCGTCGGGGAGAGTGACGGCCCCGGGGCTGGGGAGGGAAGCCCATGGAGGGGAAAATGCCGAGGCAGCAGTTTGGCTCCAGCCAGAGCGTGGTCCTGGGAGGGAGGAATTGGCTGCTCCGTCCTGGGGCTGCTTTGGGAGCTGCGAGATGGAGCTTCTCCTCCACAAGGCAGCCAGAGAGATGTAGGGACCAGAGCAGCAGCCTGAAGGCTGTGGTTGGTGGGAGTGAGAGGTGCCAGGGGAGGGTTCCCGGAGGATCACGGAATGGTTTGGGTTGGAAAGGATCTTAAAGATCATCCAGTTCCAACCCCCTGCCCTGGGCTGGGACACCTCCCACCAGACCAGATTGCTCAAATCTCCCTCTTTCTCCCCGCGGCCTTCTGTTCTCCAGGCTGAACCCCCCAACTCTCTCAGCCCCCCCAGCATCTCCGTGGCCTCCTCTGGCCCCGCTCCAATAGCTCCATGTCCTTCTGATGTTGGTGGCCCCAGAGCTGGAGGCAGCACTGGGGGGTGTCTCCCCAGAGTGGAGCAGAGGGGCAGAATCCCCCCCTGGCCCTGCTGGCCACGCTGCGGGGGATGCAGCCCAGGGTGCGGGGGGCTTTCTGACCCATCAACACCCCCAAGTCCTTTTCCCCAGGGCTGCTCTCCATCCCTGCCTGTGTTTGTGTTTGAAATGGCCCCGACCCACGTGTAGGACCCTGCCTGCCGTGCTCCTGGCCAACGTGCCTTTGATGAAAAGAAACCATGCCCAGCCTTTTGGTACCTTTCATTCCAGTAATCCTAAAAAATTGCTCCTCCTGGATGTGTTGCGCATATGTCTTTGGACACCAACCAAGATTAGATACTGAGGAGTCCACGTGTGGCTCCAAGCTGGGCTCATGCCCTGCAGGGCTGAGGTTTGTGCTCTGTGGGTCTGGGGTACCGATGCCCGTGAGACCGGGCAGCCCCCCATGGGGACAGTGGCCCTGAGGCCGTGCCCGTGCGTGGGAAGGAGTCAGGAGGCAGGAACCCCCATCAGGGCGGATGGGAGCGGAGGAGCAGGGAGAGGAGAGGCAGCTGAAGAGCCCTCTGCAGTGCCATGGATCCTGCCGGCCGCTGCCAGCGCCACGTCCCCTGCCCGGGCCACCACAGGTTCCATCATCACAGCCCAGCTGGCTGGCCCTGGGCCACTGCAGGTGCCACCATCACAGCCCAGCTGGTTGGCCCTGGGCCAGGGCATCTGCACGTCCTTCTCCCTTGGCCACAGCAGAGGCTCTGCCTGGGACCAGCGCTGCGGTCCTCTTGGGGACGTGGCCACGGAGAGCTGGGTCTGGGCAAGCATAATTTAACACGGAAAGTGCATGGCTGCTCACTCTGTCCAGAGCTTTGGGGACATTTCTGTGCCATTTCACCACTCCTGGCTTCCCCTGAGCTGCCCCTGGCTGAGGATGGGGGTTCCTCTGTGCTTTTGGGCTGCATGCTGGTTTCTGAGCACCTTTCTTCCCGCTGCTCCCTGGCAGGTGATGAAGCTGCGGAAGCTGGCCCAGCAGGTGGCCAACTGCCGGCAGTGCCTGGAGCGCTCCACGGTCCTCATCAACCAGGCAGAGCACATCCTGAAGGAGAACGACCACGCACGGTTCCTGCAGACGGCCAGGAACGTGGCTGAGAGGTGGGTGGGCACGCCTGGCCTGGGACACTGATGGGATGTCACTGGAGTGGTCCCCTGGTCAGGGCACCCCATGTCCCCCCTTCCAGTGGGCTGCCCTCCAAGAAACACAGGGCTTGGGGGTGGCCCCCGTTCCCGTCCTTCACAGGACAGGAGTTGTGTGGCAGGTCCTAATCACAGCATCACAGACTGGTTTGGGTGGGAAGGGACCTTAAAGCCCCCCCAGTGCCACCCCCTGCCCTGGGCAGGGACACCTCCCACTGGAGCAGGTTGCTCCAAGCCCCCTCCAACCTGCCCTTGAACCCCTCCAGGGATGGGGCAGCCACAGCTTCTCTGGGCAACCTGGGCCAGGCTCTCAACCACCCTCACACCAAACAAGTTCTTCCCCACAGCTCAGCTCAGTCTCCCATTTAAATCTACCCCTAATGAAGCTGAAAATCTTCTGTGGGGGCAAACGTCGTTCCCTGTGTGGGAAAGTGGTGGAAATGCCAATGAGAAGGGAGCTCGGGGGGCAGTCGGGGCTGGGACCCCCCAGGATGGAGCCCCCCCACCTCTCTGGGGGACCCGTCCCCAGGCCGGGGCACCCTCCTGGGGCAGCAGTGGTGGGGGGTACAAGCCGGTTCCCCCGCGGTGTGTAATGTCGCCGCTGCCAGCACCCTTTACCCCCCGCTGCTGCGTGTGGGGAGCCCGCGCCCCGCTGCCTATTGATGCTCGCTCCTTTTCTTGCAGGGTCGCCATGGCAACCGCATCCTCTCAAGTTCTGATACCAGATATCAATTTTAATGACGCCTTTGAAAACTTCGCTTTAGATTTTTCCAGAGAGAAGAAGCTGCTGGAGGGGCTGGATTATCTGACCGGTGGGTACCGGGGTCTGCTCCCCCCCTGCCCCCCGTGTCCTCCCCGCAGCCCCTGCCCTGTGCCCGCCGAGGGCCCCCAGGCAGATTTAAAGCCAACCAGGGTCCCACTCATTCTCACTAGTAAAAAGTGCCCGGTTGGCTGTGGCAGAGGCTGCACTGTCCCCGGGACAGGGACACGTCCGTGTCCTCCCGTTTGCACTCTGTGTCTCCCGGAAAAAGTGCAAAAAGCAGGTCAAAAACAGCGGTCTCCACGACCCAGGGAGGAGGCTGATGCCCATAAGGATCTGCAAGGGCAAATTCCAGGGAGGGAACAGTAAATTAATCAATTTTTGTGCTTCTAGCACACTGCATGCTTTAGCATTTCCCTTTTGCTGCCTTTTCTGTGGGTCTCTTGGTGCTAAATTATGAACCGCTGTGGGCAGAGACCTCGCGGGGTCCCTGGCTGCTGCCGTGGTGCCCTGAGTTCAGGCTCGGTCAGATCTTGCCCTTGGCCGGGGCGATGTGGGGGGGCAGGAGCAGCCCCGTGGCAACTGGTGGCTGCTGGACCCTGCTGGGCTGGAAAACCCGGGGAGGGAGGAAACTCTGGAGGTGGGAGGACATCACTGCAGCCCCAAATCTGATTTTCTTCATTGTGAAGGAGCTTACCTTGCAATGAAAGATTAACAACAAACTTGTTCCGCTAAGAGCAATGGGACAAAATAACTGATTCCACAAACCACGCTGGGAAATGCTGAAGTGGCTTCTCAGCTTGTTTTGAGGTGGGAGTGTCAGACCTGACGGAGGCAGCAGTGGAAACCCCTCCTTCTGCCTTGCCTGAAAACACACTGACCCCCGGATATTTTGTTATTGCACTAAAAAATGTTATTAAGTGAGAATCACAGAATGGCAGGGGCTGGAAGGGACCTTTGGAGATCATCTCCTCCAGCCCCCTGCCAAAGCAGGGTCACCCAGGGCAGGCTGGACACGATGACACAGTGACAGATAAAATGAGCCAGTTGTTTGTGTCCAGAGACTCTGCTCCCCACACAAGCCCATCTCTCTCCTTAAGGGAGTGAAAAAAAGCCCTGGGTGTATTAAAAGAAAGCACAAACTTACAGAAGTAACGTCAGCTGTGTTCTCCGGCAGCGCCGAACCCGCCGTCGGTGCGGGAGGAGCTGTGCACGGCCTCCCACGACACCATCACCGTCCACTGGATCTCGGAGGACGAGTTCAGCGTCAGCTCCTACGAGCTGCAGTACACCATCTTCACCGGGCAGGCCAACTTCATCAGTGAGTCCCTGCGCCGCGCTGGGGCTGGGGAGGAAAAGGGTTCTCGGGGAGGTTCAGCAGGTTTAAAGGCTGGGAATCAGGAGGAAAGCGCAGCAAAGATCCTCTGAGGACAGTGCTCAGGGCTGTCATCAGGATGATGGAGGATACCCCGTGCTGGGGGTCCATAACAGAATGGTTTTGCCCTGCACTTGGTGCCTGCAGCCCAAGGCTCGGTGAAGCCTTCAGTGCATTCGAGGGTCTCATCCATCTCTCAGCCACCAGACCTGCTCAGAGATGTGCCCGGGGATTGCAGAATCACAGACTGGTTTGGGTGGGAAGGGACCTTAAAGCCCCCCCAGTGCCACCCCCTGCCCTGGGCAGGGACACCTCCCACCAGACCAGGTTGCTCCAAGCCCCCTCCAGCCTGGCCTTGAACCCCTCCAGGGATGGGGCAGCCACAGCTTCTCTGGGCAACCTGGGCCAGGCTCTCACCACCCTCATTGTAAAACATTTTTTCCCAGTAATAATAATATTTTGATGAAGACTGTGGTAGTTAAGGGGGTTTTAATATTGCAGGTATTTTAGCAGTGTGTTTAGTAGCTGGCTGCAGCGTTTGGGGAGGGCGGTGGTGGGACGCAGAGCAGTCCGGGCAGTGAGTGGGTGGGTGGGTGTGAGGGACCCTCGGAGCTGTGGGGTGAGTTCAGCCGGAGCGAGCAGGAGAAGCTGAGCCTGTGATTGTGGTGACTTTGAAGGGATGTGTCACTGCCTCTGCCCCTGTCCCTGCCCCTGCAGGGAAAACAGGAGCCCTGAAGGAAGGGACCAGAAGGGACAAAAGCAAAAGGAGGTGGAAAGGTGGATCTTTGGATTTCCACAGAGGTGCAAAGAGAAGAGCAGTTCAGCCACAAAGCCACGGACTGTTTGCCACCCTGGGCAGCAGTGATTTATTCCTTTGGGTGCCTGGCGTGTCCTTGAGGTGCCAGAAATACATACATGTTATGATTTCTTGTAACGCTGCCTTTTCCGTACCATTGGAAGGGGTTTGCATTCTGGAGGAAAATTGGTTTATGGCTGGGCTGTAGGAGAGAAAACAGGGAAACTTCAGACAAGACAAAAATATGGATGTTTTAGTGGAGAAAAAAAAAATACAGCTTGCAGTTTGTCCATCCTGAAGCAGTGCTTTGGAAGAGCACAGCACCCCCACAGCATGGCTCTTGTGGGACAGTTTTATTCCTGGTTTTCCTTCATGGTGCTTACAGCTGTAGGAAGAGCTGAGAAATGCTTCGGTGGCGTTTCTGGGCCGCTGTCGGGTTATCTGCCGGGAGGACACCGGCAGCGCGGTGTCACGGCACGGGAAGGCTGCGAAGTGCACTTTAAAATATGCAGGAAGCTGCCAGGGAAAGTTACTGCTTGTGGCTTTCAAAGCTGATAAAACCCGTGTCCCCACCTTTGCCCTCGCTTTGGAAAACAAGAGGATTTGTTTCCTCTCGGCCAGAGGTTCCCGTGGTCTCTGGGAGCTACAGCAGCTCCGCTCCCCTGCTCGGCTCTGTTCTCCTTCCCCGGCCACAACAGCTTGTCTCCAGTGCTTTGTTCTCCTCTGAAAGCCTGGGTGAGCTCGGCCACCTCTTTGGCTCCATTCTTAGATGGCCACCAGCCTCTGTGTCTCCCTCACTCACCATGGACCGTGCTGGTGTCACCGGGGGTTCGGGTGGGCAGGGACCCCCAAAGGGCTCTGCATAAGCCGGGCTGGCTTAGCCCCTGGTGGGTTCCTCAGGGCACTGACGTCCCCAAGGATGGGGAGTCCCCAGCTCCCAGGGCCTTGCTCTGGTGCTTCCCCACCCTCGGCTGGAGGATTTTTTCCTTTCCTAACCAGGATTTCTCCTGCTGCAACTTGTGCCCCTGCCCTGGGTCCTTGGGGAAGGGTCTGGCTCCCACCTCTCCCCAGACACCGCTTTGGGCACGTGGCTTGGACTCCAGCCCATGGCAGGGCTTGGGAGTGAGTCCCCTCCCCACCTCTGGGGAGCTTTTGGGGCTGTGTGGGTCCCGCAGGGGTGAGGAACAGCAGGGGCAGCCCTGGAAGGGCACGTCAGGAGCGTCCTCCTTGGCCGTCCTCGGTAGCTCTTCATAGAAGGAGTAAAGAAATCATCAGTTCACGTCTCGGAGGAGAGAATGAATAATGTATCACCCCTTGGAGTAACGCAGTCAGGTCCGGGTGCTGAGAGCCTCTGAGCCCTGGCTGAACTCGTGCGTGAAGAGAGGCTGGAACTGGGGGGCTGGGGGTCACCGGGCAGGAGCTCGGGGAGGCTTCCCGGGAAAGGAAATACCTTTGCAAAGAGCACACAGTTGGCCTGTGGAAACCAGCCCCTTCACGCTCCCTTTAAAGCCAAGAGCTCGGCAGGAGTCGGACGTTTTTATGGATGATGAAAGCTGCAATAAAAAGGATTTTTTTTTAAGCTTTGGCAAGGATAGAAGCCCTCGGTCTTCAAGGCCAACCCCTTCTTGTTTTGGGAAAGAAACCTGCTGGGGAGGCCAGATCCCTCTCAGGCTGTTGTGTCTCCGCCAGCGTGTCCCCGGGGCTGAGGGCTGTGAAGCTGGTCCGTGTCTGTGAGACACGGCTTCCCGCGCCCGGCAGCGCTCCCGCCGGAGCCGCTCTGCCCGGGCTGCAGCCCGTATCACATCTGGTTTATTTTCTACTTCAAATAGCATTGCTCCGCTCCCCTAGGCCGCTTCCACGTGTATTCTAAACCAAATCTGAGCTGACAGTGACTGCAACCTGCCCTTATCCCGCGGCTGAGCGAGCCACCGGAGGTAAATAAACACCTCGGTGTAGGGCTCGGGAGAGGAGGTGTGGAGCGTGTTCCAGCTCCTGCCTCCGGCCGTGCACACCTCTGCTGGGGATGGGAGGCTAAAAACCCTCCTCCCCGCACCCCTGCTCCACAGCCCGCTCCTCCCGCATCGCCTTCCCCTCGCCTCCGGACCCGCTGCCTCCCCAAAGCCTCCAGATGCTGTTTCTCAGCTTCCTCCTTCTCTCGGCTTAAATCAGCAGCCCCGTGCAGCGATCACTGAGTCCTGGGCTGTCCCCAGCCCCTTGGTGCCAGCGCTGGAGGTGGCTCCCGAGACCCATGGTGTCCTTTCGGCTCAATTCCCCTTTCTCTGCACTTTCCCCATCACTTCCCGCGGCGGCATCTCGAGATGCCAGCACCCCAGCCCTGGCTGTGCCTCACCGAGCTCTGCCTTCACGTCAGCATAAAAAAAGGCTCTTTGAGTCGCTGGGGTTTATCATTATGGAAGTTTTCCTGCTCTTGACTGGCAGCAGGGGGTGAACCTGAGGGACACGCAGTGGGCAAGCTCTGTCTTTGTGTTCTGTCCTTTCCTCTGAATACATCTGTCCCCCTCTCCCGTGCTGCAGGTCTCTACAACTCCATGGACAGCTGGATGATCGTCCCCAACATCAAGCAGAACCACTACACTGTCCACGGGCTCCAGAGCGGCACCCGCTACATCTTCCTGGTGAAGGCCATCAACCAGGCGGGCAGCAGGAACAGCGAACCCGCCCGGCTCAAGACCAACAGTAGGTGCCGGGTGCTCACCACGGTGATGGGGGGAGAGCTTTGTCATGGAATCATAGGGTCGTCTGGGTTGGAAGGGACCTTTGAGATCACTGAGTCCAACCATCAACCTAAAACTGACAAAAACCACCACTGACCCATGTTCCTCAGCACCATGTCTGCCTGGCATTTAAATCCCTCCAGGGATGGGGACTCCACCACTGCCCTGGGCAGCCTCTGCCAAGGCTTCACAACCCTTAGGGTGAAGAAATTTTTCCTAATATCCACCCTAAACCTCCTCTGGCACAACTTGAGGCCATTTCCTTGTGTCCCATCACCTGTTCTTTGGGAGAAGAGACCGACCTCCCCTGGCTACCTCCTCCTTTCAGGGAGCTGTGGGGAGCGATCAGAGTGAGATTGGATCAGAAACCCGAGGGAGGGCAGCAGGGCCGGCCTGTCCCAGCAAGGAGGGAGCTTCTGGCTTTGCAGGGGGTGGGGGGAAGCATTTTCCCCTTGAAGGGCATCAAATACCATGGTGCTGCGGGATCAAACTGCTGGGGAGATGTAACGGGGGGGGCAGCAGGAAATGTTGGGAGAGAAAAGAAGTCATCTCTCAGGGCTCTGCCACCGCTGCCTGCTCCGTGGCTGTGTCTCCCTGTGGCTCTCCCTGCCTGGCCCTCCCTTCTCCTTCCTCTCCCCACGCTCCTGCCTCCACGAGGCTTTCGAGATGATTTATCGCCTCCGCCTCCTCGTTTTCTCTGCGCGACTCTAAACCAAATGAAATTAAGGAGGGGCTGGAGCTGCCGGGAAACAAGCCCCGATCCAATTCTGCCTTGTTTATTGGAAATGCATCCCTCCTGTGGCTGCTGTTTTTAAGTGCTTCCCCCTGCTCGGGTCGGGGGGGGACCCGAGGGCACTGGGGTGGCACCGGGGGACCCGAGGGTGCTGGGGTGGGACAGGGGGTCTGTGCTTCTGGCTCCCATCTCACCCGTTGCAGCCCACTGCCTGCAGAGAGGGCTGGAGCCCCGGGCCAGGATGTGCCAGCACAAACCAGCAGCACGGGCTGCACTGGGGTTGCTCACACTGACCTCAGAAAGGGGTCGTCGTGGTGAAAAGGGCTGCGACTGTCTCCCTGCTGACGGAGCCGAGTATTTTTATACCTCCTCCCTCAGAGCTTGTCTCCTCGCATTACCTCCAGAAGACGATGGCTACAGAAATATTAGAATAGCTGGAGGGAAGGGGCAGGGGTCACTCCCAATTTGCAGCTTCGCTTTCAGGCCTCTCAACTCAATTTTCTGGCAAATTGGGCTCTGAGGAACATCAACGGGAGGCACCGGCAGGTCTTGCAGAGCAGTGTGCCGGGGTGACAGCTCTCCGGCGGTGCCAGTGCCGATGCTCTGGTGGGCTGTGATGGTTCCTGGCCCTGGCTGCCCCGGTGCCACAGAGCCCGGCCGGGGGCTTCTCCTGGCCCAGCCCTGGTGTCCATAGCCCAGCTGGGGAGGGGGTGGGAGATCATGGCTCTGTGCACTCCAGGGTCTGCCAGCACCTCCTTCCCCCCAGCCAGTCCAGGGGCCTCCAGGTACCAAACCTGGGCTTTAACTTGTTTGCAGTTATTTAAGGTGTTTTGCTGCAGCTGCTTTCAGTTTGCTTCGTGCTGAAGTGGAGGAACCCCCATAGAAATCCTGCTGCTGCCCGTGGGCTCTTTGCTGTGTCTTACACGAAAACTCACAGTGACAAAGTACATGAGAGCTCAGTTTGCTTCTTTACAACGTCTTGGTTGCAAAACCAGGCAAGTTTGGGGGCTTCTCAGAGGAAATTGTTGGAAAATAGGGAGGTCAGATGAAGCCTGTGCTTTGGAAGCAGGTGATGGGGGGGCGCTGGGGAGATCCCCCAGGTTTGGTCGAGCTTCTGTGTACCTTGTGTCGAAGTGGCATGTGCAATTTATTTTTATACCTGCTATTCCTGCATTATGCAGCAGTCCTTGATAGGCGGTGCTGTGCCCCTCGCCCCATCGGGGTGGGTGGCGTCGTCCCCCAGGGATGGGTGCCCTGGTCCCCCAGGGATGGGTGATGTGGTCCCTGTAAGAGGGTGCAGGGATGGAGCAGCAGCTGCCAGCGGTTGGCAGTGAAGCTGCCTGGCCAGCGTGGCCATTTCTGACCCACACCTCTGTCCTGGCGCCCACAGGGAGCCAGAGAGGGTTAATTTTGGCCAAAAATTGGAGCCTTCCAGAGAAATCCTTAGTGCTCAGCTCCATGGCAGCACTGGAGCCCAAAGGAGAGGGGCTGTTTGATGCGAGGGAGGGCAGATGTCCCCTGGCCTTGCACATCTCCAGGAGGGGTTCATCGAAGCCATTGGGACAGGCAGTGTGTGTCAGGCAGGGACCAGCCGGGCTCTCTGTGTGCTGGGAACGCTACAAAGGAATCGCAGTCGGGTTTCCAGCCAGCATGAAGGATCTGCAAAACCCATCAAGCCCAGTTGTGTTAATTGTGAGGAGGCCCCAGGGCGTGTGCTCGCTGGCTGGCCCCGTGCTCACACCTCCCTCCAGCCTCCCCCAAATGCCGGCTGGACCCGACGCCTTTCATTTCCTTCCACCACCGTGTGCCCAGCCCAGACTGTCTTCTCCCAGCGCCCAGACCGTGTTTGGCAGCGGAGAAGCGCTGGGAAACCTCGGGCGTGCTGCCCGTAACGTGCAATCGCAGGCTGTGCCGCTGCTGACGGGGCCGTGCTGGATGCTGCAGCTCTGCTCCTGCCATTCAGTGTCCTCGTACCAGCACTTCGGGGGCTGTTCTCCCTTCCCTCTGCTCGAGTAACTCTCATCACGGCTGGTGGAGTGTGGATCCGATCAGGAATTCAGGCTACGTGCCCAGCTTTGGTTGGTGGCATGTCTCGGTGGCGTCTTCAGTGCTGTCCCCATCTCCTGGAGACATCCCCGTTTCTGCCACGTTTTGCATCATAACCGGGGGCAAGAGGGAGCTGCTCTGAGGGGGAGTGAGGCATCCGAAGGGGGCAATGCGCAATGAGGAGACCCCGGGGGTTCCCCAGCCCCTGCTGAGGGGTCCTGATGGGCATCTGTAATCCAGTGTCCTTGGCTGGTGGGGGAGCCTTTGGTCACAGAGGGTGTCCCAAGAGCCTGGGGCAGATGGTTCCTGCACAACGATGGTAACAAACATAAATCCTAACCTGTGTGTCCTGTTCTAACAGGTCAGCCCTTTAAGCTTGACCCCAAGATGGCTCACAAGAAGTTGAAGATCTCCAATGACGGGCTGCAGATGGAGAAGGATGAGAGCTCCTTGAAGAAGAGCCACACGCCCGAGAGGTTCAGTGGGACAGGATGCTATGGTGCGGCAGGCAACGTCTTCATCGACAGCGGCTGCCACTACTGGGAGGTGGTGGTGGGATCCTCCACCTGGTAGGCAGCACTGTTGTCCTCCCTCTCTCTCCTAGAAGCCCTCAAATTTCCCCAGAGACATTGTGGGACACACCAGGGCCAAAGGCCAGGGTTTTGGCAGAGCTGCTGATGGGCAGGGAGGTGGTCAAGACGTTAAAACTGTGGCTGTGGCTTTCAAGAGTTTTAGGAGTTTCTCTTTGGGTCGGGTACAGTCAGGCTGTGAGATGAAGCTTGTGTCTTCATTCCCCTCATGGCTGATGCCTGCCAGGGCTGGAACAGAGGGTTCCTGCTGGGAGCGCCCGGCTGGGTCACCTCTCGCCCCAGTGGGGCAGCAGGAGGTTGCCTGGGGAGGGAGCGATGCCTTTCCCCCTCCGAGCCTCTGCAGGTGGCTTTTCAGTCACGTAAAACTGTTGCCGAGCTGCTTCTGTGGTCAGGGGGACTTCTAAAGCATGAGGTGTCCCCAGCCGTGGGGCTGGGCTTTGTCTGTGCCGAGGCCGGGGTCGCTGAGCAGAGCTCCTCCTCTCTTGCAGGTATGCCATCGGCGTGGCTTACAAGTCGGCCCCCAAGAACGAGTGGATCGGGAAGAACTCCTCCTCTTGGGTCTTCTCCCGCTGCAACAACAACTTCGTGGTGAGGCACAACAACAAGGAGATGCTGGTGGAGGTCCACCCGCAGATGAAGCGCCTCGGCGTCCTCCTGGATTACGACAACAACGCCCTCTCCTTCTACGACCCGGCCAACTCCCTCCACCTCCACACCTTTGAGGTCTCCTTCATCCTGCCGGTGTGTCCCACCTTCACCATCTGGAACAAATCCTTGATGATCCTGTCGGGTCTGCCCGCCCCGGACTTCATAGATTACCCCGAGCAGCAGGAGTGTAACTGCAGGCCCCAGGAGTCCCCGTACGTATCAGGGATGAAAGCCTGTCACTAGGCTGCCCTCGCCCTGCCCTGCCCCGCGGTGGCACCGGCCGTGCCGGAGGGTGCCGATGGTCGGAGCTGGCCACCGGGAGCTTGCTGGTAGCCGTGCCCGAGAGCCTCCCCGCAGCCGTGACGCCCCAGCCAGCGAGCGCCTTCCCCCAGCAGCTCAGTTACGTTTTTTAAGGGGAAAGAGGAGGAACCTCAAACCGCGGCTGAGAATAAACTCCTGCTGGCCAGCCCCGCTTGCGTACCGCTGCGGCTTGTGCGACTCCTTGGGGGTCTGCTCCCATCTCTCCCGGAGCAGGACGTCACCTGGATGGTCTTGTCTTCCCTTGGGGGCTGGAAAGGCTGGGGTGGGTTTTTGGGTGACCTTCTGAGGTGTTGCTGTGGTCAGGGGGACGTCTCGCGTGTCCCTGTGAGGCACAGATGGGGTTGGCTTCCCTGAGCCCATTGGTAGCTTGTCTGGAGAGCCAGGTGGGACCCCAGCATCACTTCTGGGGGGGGGTCTCTGTTTGGCTGAAGTTTGGCAGCTTCTCTGGTGCGGTAGATAATCTGGACTCCTGGCACTTGGTGAGTGCAGGCGGTGGTTGTGTGGTGGGTGGTGGGTGGCGGTTGTGCGGTGGTTGTGCACTGGTTGTGCACTGGTTGTGCGGTGGTTGTGCAGTGGATGCTCTGCGGGCGTGAAGGCGGCGCTGGGAAGGCCGGTCCCGCTGCCTCTCCCGGCCGTGTTCCCTGAGCTTGGTGAGGGTTGCAGTCCCACCATGGAGGGCAGCCAGCCCTGGACCACCAGCCCACCGTGTCTCCTCCTTCAGGAGCTCACCAGGAGTCAGGGGGCCCCCCACCCTTAAGGACCAAGCCGAGGAGCATCTTGCTCCTGGCCCAGAGGTTTGGCAGATGCGTTTCCTGGGGCAGGGTCAGGCCGGCTCTGTCCCACCACGTGTAGACCTCCAGGAGTTCCATGCCTGGTGTCCCTGCAGGAAAAGCACATCTCCCCACGCGCATCCCGGGTCAGGTCCTGCCCAAAGACCCCTCTCTGTGCTTTATGACCCAAAATCTCAATTTATGACCCCAAGTCTTGGCTCTTGGTTTGTTCTCCACCATGGTGGTGTGAGCGTGGAGCCGTCTGGTTTGCTCTGTGGCAGAGGACGAATCCATCCCAGGGGCTCCAGCTCCTGGTTACGGGGCTCTTTGGCTGCGACCAGTGCTCCCAGTAACCACAAGCACCAAGTCCCCCAGCCAAGCCTCAGTTTCCACATTTGCTTAAAAGCCAGGAGGAGCCAGTCCAGTCCCACCGGCCCCTGTGTCGCAGGGAGTAAGGACCCAGCATGGGCACCTGCAGCCAGGGTCGGTGGCACAATTCAGGGCAGGTGGGTGTCCATGTTGCACCCAGGGCCGGTGGCACGGCGTGGCGGGGGTACAGGGGGAGACAAGGGGGTCAGGCAGCATGGTGACCAGGATGGGCTGGTGCTTGAGCTTCGGTCTGTGGTGTTTGAAAACCCCTGATTGTCCCTGGCTGTGGCACTGGCAGACCCCGCGGTGGCATCGCACCGGGACCATCGGGCTGGGACCTTCGTGCTCCGCCGGCCTTTTCCTTCCTTTCTTTGGACCTTGCTGACAGGGAACTACCTCAACGCGCGGCCTCCGAGGGCAGGTGATGGGGAGGGTGACAGCACACGGGGCTCGTCCCACATGGGCTGGGGAGAGGCTGTGGGACTCGGCTGGAGCCAGTTGGCCCCGTCCGAAAGTGGGAGCTCCCTGGCAGCGACCCGGCCCGGGGGGGACACTTGTCACTGAGTCTGGGGGTGGCAGCTGCCAGGTGATGGCTTTGTCCGGGCAGAGCGTGTATAAAAGAGCCTGTTTCTCAGCACAGCGTCCCCCCGCTTCGCCTGGGTGACATTTTCGGTGACCTGTTGCTGCGGGGAGGGAGGGGATGTCCCCCGCGGGGAAGGGATCTGCCACCTCCACGGCCAAGCCCAGGGGATTTCCCTCGGATCCCGGCGCGTTCCCGGGGTGCGTGGCAGGGGCAGGGGCAGGGGCACATCCCCCCGAGGGACAGAGCGATTTATTTGCTGCTTCAGGCCCCAGCGAGCGGCCGCGCTGGGCAGGGGGATGCAGCGGGGCCACCTCTGCCCCTCCCCGCAATAAGCACACACACAGCGGTCGTTTTAGGAGGAGAAGTTGCCATTTTCGGTTGGATGTTTTTTTCAACACCCGTAGGGTCTCGGCCTCCCTCGAACGCCCAAGCACTGGAGATGGGTTCTGGGGTTCGCCGTGCGGGGGCCGAGCGCTCCGCCGCCCCCCGGGCCTGGCTGGTGAGGGGGGACTGGGCGCACCCATTAACTCAGAGCACACGAGCCATTAATGTGACGTTTGCACCTGATGAAATTGCACTAATTGCGGTGGGACCCCCCGCCGCGCGCGTCCCGGCCCCGGGCCAGGCGGGGGGGAGCGGGGAGACCCCCGAGGGCCGGGGGGGGGGGGGCCCCGCGTTC